AGGATTAAGGGAGCATATCCTGAATGATGGATGATAATTCTGAGCACTGCAACTAAATCTTTTGACTGCCTGGCTGAGAAGTACTTATTATCCTCATCAGCTTCTCTCATATCAATACTCCCACATTGTTATGTCTGTCTAACACACTGAGATAGTCTAGAGCAGTCAAAGGCCAGCTTAAAGAAAAAAAAAAAAAAAAAGAACAATTAGCTCAAACAATTCTGATACTTGTTCTGGAAATTGGAAATTATTAGGAAACATGGAGGAAAGACACACACACTACTCATCTTGTCACTGTTTGGGATCATTCATCCATTCTTTGCTCTGCTTTAACAGCTGCTTTGTGTTTTGGACATACTGGAATATTATCCTATCCATTCTTATTCTCTTCCAATTAATTCCTTCATAGTATGCTCACATTAGGAGCTTGGATACATGTTCACACTATTTTATTTATCTTTGTCATAGATAGTTACATCACAGATAGATACAAAGGTAAATTAGATATTTGCAAAACAGCCCCTGAGCTCAGTGTGGTTGGATGCAGAGCTTCAAAAGACGGTGAAAAAGTTTGCAAATTTATCCACAGAGTCATAATGTCATTATTCTCCATGTCTATTTGGAAAATTTGGTTTCTTTTCTGAATATAGGGAAAAAGTTGTGAATTAGATAAATGTATGATTTTGGATCCATTATAGGAACACTCCTCTGTCAGGAAAAAAACCCGATGGATATCATAATTCTTCTGTCATAGGCCAGTCTACTGTTCTGGTCACTGAACTGGATCATTCAAATCTCTGACCAAACAAGAATTTAGATTTCTCCTTTACACTGAAAGAGGATCTCCAACATATTTTAATTACTTTTCTAGTAATTTCTGTATTTTATTAGAGGTTTTAGGAAACAATAAAAATATGCTGTTTTGGAAAATTCTGAAAGAAAAAGAAGCATGATCTCATTTGTGGTGGGTTTTTTTGTTTGTTTGTTTTGGTGTTTTTTTTTTGTTTGTTTGTTTGTTGTTTTTTTTTTTTTTTTTAATCTGGCTCTGAAATTTCAGAACCTTGCTTTAAAGTTTACCACGGGTGTTACTACAGATACTAACCTTCTGATGCTTCCAAACATCTGTGCGTGACCCAAAAATCTTCCAAAATCTATGTGGAACATGCGCCCAGCTTTTGTCAGCATGATGTTGTCACTGTGTCGATCACAGACTCCCAGAATGAAGGTAACGACACACCAGCCAGCACAGGAGTAAAAGAAATTCCTTACTGCCTAGTTGGGAAAATGAAAGAACTTACATGAAATACACAGATGCATTGGTTTGTGATGCTAACCAAAACAAAAAGAAACACAAAAACCAAATCAAACAAAAAAAAAAAAGTAGTTTTACAAGTGCTTTGCTTGTTGCTGAAACTTTTCCAGACAGGTGTTTGTAGGAACGGTACTCAAGCAATACAAAGATTCCAAAGTAACCATGCAAGAACAACTTTATGCATGAGGTTTTCACTTTGTGCTTTACAGATACTTGGGAATCTATGGAAAACTCTGAGGTGAAAGGTGCATTAGGAAAGCAAGCTTCTTGGCAGGAAGCTGAAATCTTCTGTTCAATGTTCTGCATGAATATTGTAAAAAAAATTGTTACAAAATTAGATGAAAATTCACAAATTTAACCCTTTGCTTCATAAACAAAGGAGGTTATTTTATACCCACTGTCGTGTTCTGTAACAACACAGATCTTATTTTCTCCACAACTCAGTTGCCTTTCTCAAATCCTAATAATCAAGTCTCAAAATATTACAACCCAAAAAACTGACCCCCATTTTTCAGAAATGAACTGGTATACAGAAAGGCTAAATAGTTTTCTGCTCACTGTGTAATACAGAAACCCAAACCATCCTAACCTAGATCTTTATGTTTCTTTGTGGACAAAACTTGCATCAGCCAAGGTAAATGATTATTTAGGCATCCAGGAATTCCCTGCAGATGCAGGGTGCCACCTGCAATGGCTGATATGGATGACAGCACTGTACAAGACTTAGTCCCCAGTACAAGAGTTGGCTGAATTTTTTGCCTAACTGTGCTACTTACTCTCTTTGATGACCTTGGATAAAATACTTAAGCTTTCTGTGATTTTGTTCACTCGAGTGTAAAATGAGGATATTAAAGCTTGTTCTGCATCAATGTTTTGAGCACCTTAGATACAGTGCTGTATGAGTAAAAAATTATTAAGGAGTAAAAGAAGACAAAGCAAGTACAAAGTGAAGGCATAGCAGTAATTTTATGCATACCCTATGCAATCAGATCTGACTGCATTTTATATGCTTAAAAAATTGAAAGAAAATGGGTAGAAATTAGTTTTAGAATACCACATTAATGGCACTTTTTACAAACAGCAGCAGCAACAGCAGTAAAAAATAGGTTTTTCAATCAATAATTAATAGTATTTCACTTCTGAATTGAAATATTGCCTGCACTTCTACCATAACACTGTAAACATTCAAACTTGTAAAAAAGCATGCTACACAGATTGTTTCCTCTTTAACTGAATCAAATGATATACCATAAGAATTCAAGTGCTCAAAATGTGACTAAGGATGAACAAATACCTATGGAATAATTATGAAAATACTTAAGTTTATCAAACATATTTATACTTTACATCTACTAACAAAGTGCTCTGAAACCACTTCATTTTCAGAGTGGTAAATACTCAAAGCACTCCTTAAATTTAAAATTTTGACTACTGATTTACTGTTGGCACACAAAAAAATCATCCCAGCAACACAAATATTAAAAGCTTTTTCATGGGCCTCAACCAGCAAAGAACTAACAGAAATAGTTCCTTGGAAAACATTCACTTATATAAATAAAATTCCCAATTTTTTGGCTCATGCATAAAATCTAGTTTCATAAAGTCAGATGCATTACATGGGATGCCATGAGAACATATGATATGAAAAGCATGATCTTCTGTATCATATGACTAGGTAGTTTTGATAAAACAGCTTTCTAAAATTGGGGATACCGAAATGGAAATCTCCAAATACAGGAAATCCACCAAAACTTTGTATGGTTCATATAAAATAAAATATTTCGAGAGCTGACCTAAAAAAATAAATGTTTCTGCCTTCAAGAACTAATTTCTACTTCAGGTTCTCTTCGCTTTACTGCTAAATTCCAAAAAATCTCTATGACATATTTTTACAGAAAATATAAAGTAATACACCTGATACAGAGCAATGTCTCCTTAGAAAGAGAGTGGCATTTAAGTCAATTCCCTGACTTCTATGCATGTGACTTGTTCGTCTCGTGTCTGAGCCACTTGTTTTTGCTGCTTACTGTAATTTGGT